ATAAGAGTAATATTTTCAAAAAGAATAAAATAAAATAGGACAAATCGTTGGAAATAAAATGTCCGAAGGTACCATCTTGACGATTATATGGTATTCTTCAATTCTCTTTTAGATCTCCACACTAATCTCTTAGGTACTCTATTTAACATTTTATATAATTTCTAGACTTTTGACAACCTTTTTAGGTAATCCATGTCTAAACTATACACAAATAAAAATGTTTATTTTATTATTTCCATTTCTTATACTGTTTACACTGTTTTGAACTGATTGAATTGGGCTCAAACGAATAATTTTATTTTAATGTGTAACATAATCAGTATTTAGTCAACTGTCAACAAATTTAGTCGTGTTGTCACACTGATTTTACACGTGTTATTACATATATCCCAATCAGCTTCACTTAGGTTTAGGCCTGGAAAACGTACTGCCCATTCCATAATGATTTCGATATCCCAAGATGCTATAGTAAAATTCATTAAGCGGTGCAGGAAAATATAAACATTAAATCGTGTCCGAACCGGTATGAACCGCTGATAACATCGCCAGACGAAATAAAGATGGACATTCCGGTTAGTTTTTAAATATTTTTGAAGAACTGTTACTTGTATTTATGCAGAAAATATTCATTAATTTTATAAATCGGAGTATTTTTTCACTTACTTTGTATTCAGTGATAACATTAATTTATTTACTATGCAATAAACACGAATATTTGAGAAAAGAAAAAAATTATAAAGTGTCATAATTATACTGTTACTTATCGGAACGAGTAGACTCATTTGGAACATCTTTAACAATTATCTGTTAAATTTATCGTTGTTTATATGCCCTGCACCGCTTAATGGAATAAGGTATAGCAACATTATCGAGATTGGGAAACGCATGAGAATTATCTTTACTGTATGGTACAAAAGTCATCACAATATATTTTAAAATGTCTGTTATGTACCTCACGGTATTCAGCAATTCATTTTATATGATATGTAGCTGCATACTCGATTCAAATCAAATGCCATCACTCCCATATTGATCCATACTTCGAATTCATTGACATTCGAATATAAAACTTCCCTTCAATTTTATACTTAACATACTTTTCTCCGGATCTTCTCTATATTTGTACTCTTTCACAACCTGCATTCGAAACTGGTACTTCGCCGTTAACAATACATGGCTCAAAGCATAATAATTCCAGTTTAAGTGTTACTGAGCAAAACGGAACCGAGTTACTCAATGGCTTGTAGCAAGTAAAGGACAATTGTTTGACAAGTATTATCCTGCCGGGCCACATTAAGACTTTGTCTTAAAGGTTTCTGTTGAAAGTCATTTAAGTCATTAGAAGAGTTCTTGTAGCCTAGTTTAGGAAAATGTCGAAATTTGTGATTTATTAACACATCGCTAGCAGTAAGACTTTCACTATAGTTGCTTTTTTGCAACTTCTTCCTTTTCTCGTCTACTCGCCATTTTGCCAGTATCTTTGAAGGATGCAAAAGATTACGCGCTTGAAAACTTATTTGGACAACTTCATTATATGTGTAATTATTATCTTAAGCCGCGTGAACATCAAGTATTACTACTTAGTTCGTTAAAATAATGTATACACAATAAAACAACGATTCACTATCGTAAAACACAAATTAAATAATTTAATTTAACACATATTAAAAAATAATAAAGTTCAATACTCCACATTATCCAAAATGTCTAATCATAACGATTGTCAAAATTATTCATTGTTATTAAAATTTGGTGGTTGGTTTCTTTGTAATTCGTCTACTGTGAAAACTTTTCTTTTATCAGCACAATAAACACAGACACATTTTTTATGGTAAATTGTGTCTTTTTCTTATATTCCTTGAATGGGGTCCCACCCAAGTATATTTGTTATTACACGATTTAAAATTATTTTGTACGTTAAAACCAACAACTGGTGACATATTTCTGCTGAAAATATCGTTTTAATGTCGGTAAACTAACCGAGTGGCAACATACTCATTTGTATGGGAAACTATGAATAGGAAATATCACTTAATAGGAGCAATGCATTCCCCGATCTATGAATTTACCTTCAACGAACACGCAACCCAGAAATAATCAACTTAATGGTTAATATCAATCAAGTTCATTCCGGATTTAGAAAGGCAACAATCGTCAATAAAGAATATTTTGTAACATCGGGATATATATGTAGTAAATTGTAACTTTAACTTGAGACGTAGAAGATATCGACCCCCAGCAGAAAATCAATAGCGGAAAGCAAACGTAGAGCGACGAGAGAAGCGGTGGTAAACTGGACATACTTTTATGGTACACTGCAAAAATATTGGTAGAAGATTTATAAGTTTTGAAGTTTTTTATTTAATTTAATTCATATAATCATATTATTGTTATTGTTCTTCTATTTTTATTCTCAAAAGATTTCATATGAAGATTTTTCGAAGGAAGAAAGAAATATTAGAACATTTTAAAATTATTAAAACCCAAAAATGAACGTGTTCTTTGCATCTAGAAAAGGACAACTTACTTCTAATAATGCACGTAAAATAGTCAGAATTATTTGCATTGTAGTGCTTATCAGCTTTGGCGACCATCATGGTATTCTATAGATTTTTCAGACAGGAAATCCTTTGCCTTCCTGGTTTACGTTTTCTTTCTACTTTTCCTTGTAGAGTTAATTTCAGCAACATATATCTTCCGCTGTTCCTCTTGATCTAATCAAGGTATTCAATTTTGGCTGTTTATTGTGGTTCACAGTATTCAAAGCTGTTGAGCATGACAGCGTGTCAAGTCTATAATCTCTTAAAATGTCAAAATTCGCAAATTCCTTTGAACATTGCTTTGCCTCTGTGTTATACCTCGGGTTTGGTGAGCGCAGTAGTTACAGCACTAATATAAGTTATATAATAATATAATGGTAAGTGTATGTGTGTGTGAGTGTGTGTGTGTGTGTGTGTGTGTGTGTGTGTGTGTGTGTGTGTGTGGGTTGTGATTGTGCGTGTGTGTAAGTATTGGAGATAAAAACCTTTCCACCAAATCTATTCTACGGGTAGTTCTATTCAGTTTGATGCCTCAGAATTACACGGTGTATGGTGTTATTATGTTAGGGACATTAGCGACATCTTTTAAGGACTTGAATGATCATCACGGCCCATTTTACTCTGTCTGCAGCAGTTCTGAGAAGTTCTAATATTGTTTTTTTACTCCACTGCTTTAAATTTTACAACCAAGACGTGTGTCGCCTACCCGATCTTCTTTTTTCCTCCACTTTCCCTTCTATAACCAATCTCATCAACTGATATTTTTCATTTTTTAGTATGTGACCAAAGGGTTCATTTTTCTTTCCCATGTAATATTAAGTTTTTTATTATGTTTTAATATTTAATTTTTATTATGTTTTGTATTATGTATTAAGTTACGTGTTGTGTTCATGATATTTTCCACATTCATCGATAACAGCATATCTAACAAGTCTTTTCTCAGTTGCGTACGTAATTGTCCAGGCTTTTACTCCATATAAAAGGACAGAAAATACGTAGCATCTAAATACTCTAGTTTTAATTTCTATTCCGTTTTGCATTGCATGATTGCGACATTTTATTTTAAGGCTGCGATCTCATTGTTCATTTAGCTCACATCCCAAGTAATTATATCTACGTACTTTCTCTAAATGGTAATCACGAAATCAAAGAACATCAGAGCTAATCTTGTAATAGACAATACAACGATTGAGCGTGTGCCCTGTTATAAATATCTAGGTGCTTGGATCACAGACGATACTGATCAAACAAAAGAGATTAGATGTAGAATAGAAATCGCTAGATCAGTCTTTAATAGAATGCGCAAACTCTTTTGCAATCATGATATCAATATAAAGTTACGAATACGAATTCTGCGGTGTTATGTCTTTATACCCTGTTATATGGAGTTGAGGCTTGGACACTAAAACAGTTGACCATAAAAAACATCGAAGCTTTCGAGATGTGGTGCTATAGGCGCATTCTCAGAATATTATGGATGGACCGCGTCACTAACACGCAAGTACTCCAAACTTTAGACAAAAGATGCGAAATTCTAAATGAGATAAAAACTAGAAAGATGGAATACTTGGGGCACATTGTGAGAGGTGAAAAGTACGAACTTTTAAGAAACATCATGCAGGGCAAAATTAAGGGCAAAAGAAGTGTGGGAAGAAGAAAAATATCGTGGCTTCGTAATCTACGTGAATGGTTCAAGTGTAGTTCGATTGAACTTTTTAGGCGCGCTGCTAACAAAGTCGCAGTGGCCATGATGATTTCCAATCTCCGCTAGGAGTGGCACGAGAAGAAGAAGAAGAAGACTTTCTCTACAGCTTTTCCTTTAGAGTAGATTGGTCCGTATGCAATCTTGTTCTTACTGACAATTATGCCTTTGTTTTTTTGTATTCAGAGCCATTCTATACCTCTCACAGTACTGCGTAGGGCTATCAACCAACATTTGCAGCCCTTCTTTACTGTCCGCAAGGAGTATTGTATCGTCTGCATATCCAAGAATATTCAATAGTGTTCCGTTAATTTAAATCCCTTCTAGTGCCCCTTTAAACATCTCTTCTGAGCACATATTAAAACGACTTGTTATAACTTCATTTTGTCAAAATTGGTATTTAGCAAGAATATATTTTTATTCTATAATAATATTAAAAAACTTACAAGTAAAGTACTTTTACCAAAAAAACAATTGTGTACATCATATTACAAGCATGGTGATCATGGATGGTAAACGTTTTCGTTAACTATCGTAACTTTTTCTGGCAGGAATCAATAAATAAATGACATCGTGTCGCTAGACCTCTGATTCCCACTATTCTACTTATCCATCTTATTAGCGGATTAGTAGACTAGCGAATTCTATTTCAAAACCTCAGTTCAATTTTGGCTATTTCACTGCTTGTTTAAAATATTCTAGCTTAAGTTTGGCTTCAACTATGATATTAGTAAACTATTAACTTGGAAATAAGGTTTCTAGCCCGATGATCCAAGATCATGGTGCTGGTCCATTAAGGCTAAAAAAGAAGTCAGGTATTGAAAATATCTGTAATGATTTGACAAGAAATTTTATCAAAATAATCTGGCACCCAAATAACTACAGTAAAAAGACAAGAGTCAATATGAATTATAATTAATAATATAAGACCTATCTAGGATATTCCTGCCCTTTTAGCAAAGTAAGTAACCAGCCAGTTAAAAAAGGAAAGGACACAGAATAATGAATACCCAACAAATATTTAAAACTTCTTCATAAAAATACAAAATAGTGGCACAGGACGACCTTGGTCGCACAGAACTGCATTGTAGTTGCTTGCAGCAATGAATCTCATAATGGAGTATCTACCTAAATTTTTGTCCAACTGCTCGTTATGATAAAAATGTACAATACAAAAATATTTTCAAAGTAGTAAGCAACAAAACTACTGGTTAATTAAAAAGCGGATGCATAAATTTTATTTGTAATGAAGTCGTACGCTGTTCATTGTTGAAACCGATGTCTTACATCATTTTTTCGTATTTTTTGCTCATTAATGTTTTTTTTAATTTTTGATTTATGTTTTCATATAAACACTTTATATAAGTTAGCCAGGAAATAGCAAAATGCTAATTAACTGTTACATATAGGTGTTTGTACATCTTTTAATGACTTTAATAAAGTTTGGGTTAATTCTACCCATTGTTGATGTATGTAAAAAATAATACTAAAGACTCTTAAAATTTGAATAAGAGTATTAGATATTCAATTAATTTTTAAAATTTATTTAAAATACTACAATTTTTGGCCATTTATATTAAATATCCTGTTAATTTGGTTATAAAGCTATTACTTTGTGGCGATTTACTTTGTTAAAAAGCTGCCCAGATGGAAGTCGAAACGTCAAATAAAGTATTCCTAATTGTCAAGTCAAGTCAAGTCAAATTTATTGATCACATGCGACATTATACAAAGTACATATATGAGACAAGTCAAAAATACAGACATAAATCTTAAAATTATATAAATTAATTAAACACGATAAAACATACTTAAAAATTATTTTTAGAATATGGCTCTAGCTCACAAATGTATTGATGTACACACCTCCGAAAGTTTGGCTGATGTAAATTCATTCGTATATCTATTGGTAATTTGTCAAAGAAACTTATGGCTGCATAATGTGTGTTACCTTCCAACAAAACAGAACGATGTTGTGGAAGCATAAAGTGATTGTCTCTGAATCTTGTTGAATAAACATGGTTAAATTGAAATTTATTAAATTCATAAATTTTGCTATGCAAATACATTATACACGAAAATATATACAGACCAGGAATTGTCAGAATATTGTTTTGTCTAAAGATGCCTCTACAAGAATCTCTAAATTTCATTTTATACATTATCCTAATAGCTCTTTTCTGAAGTACGAATATCTGCTCTAATTCAGAGGTACAACCCCAGACTTCAATGCCATATTTGGATATTGAGTAAAAATGGGCAAAGTATACTGTTTTTAACATTGACGTATGAAAGAAACGTGAAAGAATTCTTAATGCATAACATGCGCTACTTAATCTGGATTTCAAATTAGAAATGTGGTTTGACCATTTACAATTACTGTCTAGAAGTACCCCCAGCAACTTCGTGCAGTCTGTTTTATCTATTGCTGCTTCTATAGTGGCTTGATGGTTTAATAAATTATTTGACGTGAAAATCATATACTTTGATTTCTCTTCATTCAAAACTAATTTGTTGGATAAGAAATCACTTTTGATGGTGGATAGTATCTGTGAAGTTTTATTTTGCATTGATCAGACGTTCCTGTGACTAGAATGTTGGTATCATCTGCATAACTAATAATGTTAACCCCAGTCAGTGAATTAGTTACCAAAGTTATATCATTAATAAATACTATAAAAAGAAGAGGACCCAATACACTACCCTGAGGGATACCATAATGGATATCCAATGTGTTTGATTCGTTTACAAGTCCATTAGATGTTATCTTTACTTTTTGTCTTCTATTTTCTAGGTAGGAAGTAAACCATTTTAGAACTATACCACGAATACCAATCCCCTCAAGTTTTATTAGCAACAAATTATGATCCAAAGTGTCAAAAGCCTTGGAGAAATCGAGAAATAATCGAGAAATAATTGTATCTGTTTACAAAAAAGTTGTGAGTTCAGAAACAACGTATATATTTGTTTTATCGACTTCGAGAAGGCCTTCAACTCATTACAACATGATACACTTTTCGCTTGTCTACCGGCAGCAGCACTTGACCACTACGATATAAGACTGCAAAAATACTTATATACTTATATAATCAAGTAGCTTCTATATCAATTGGATATAGTCACAATGAAAAACTACCTATCAAACGTGGAGTACGACAGGGCTGTGTTTTGTCATCCAGTCTTTTTAAATTATTCTCTGAAGAAATCTTTAGGGAGGCTTTGGATGTCGAACAAGACTAGGCGTAGTGAGTAAGACTAGGCAAAGAAGTAATCCACAATATCAGATAAGCTAACAATACATCCGTTCTTGCGGAAAACTCACAAGATCCTAACATTAGTAAATCTAGTCAGCGAAGCAAGTTATCGAAGAGGCCTTAAAATTAACAATTCAAAGACAAACTGGATGACATTTTGAAAGAGCCTGCCTTCTCTTAATAGAGAGGAGATTCTTCATCTTGATGTGCCTATCTGTTACAAATGTTGGCGATCATCATGGCAATCTGGCAAGCGAGGACATAGAACGTGTAAACCATTTCATATACCTTGGTAGCTGGTTACATGTAAGTTGTGAGTCTGATGAACAGATACTAACCAGAATCCAAATTTTACGTAAGGCTTTTATCTGGAAACCAGATTTGTGTAACAGAAACCTGTCGATGTATTTTCGCAAGAAGGTTCTAAAATTTTATGCGTGGTCTATCCTATTGTAAAATTGTGTGACATGTACAGTAAAAACCACAACGCTAAACAAATTAAAAGCTAGTGCTTAGTGCTATCGACGGATCCTAAAAATATCATGGGTTTAGTACAATTCCAATGAAGATTAGGACCTAAATAACATCTACTTCGCCTTATAATACAAGAAAAGTGGAGGGAGAGAGATGAATTGGTCGAAAGAAACTTGCATAGCTGCTTAATATTATGCAATGGTGTGGTTCTTCTTCTTCTTCATGTACCATGTCCTTTTAAAACGTTAGTTACCATCATAGCTATTTTAATTTTATTTACTGCCACCCTAAATAGCATGCTTGTATCAACACCATACCAATCACTCAAGTTCTTCAACCATGAGGTTCTTCTTCGTCCTAGACTGCGTTTGCCTGCTATTTTTCCTTGCATGATATTTTGTAGCAAACCTATATTTGGGGCCTCTCATTACATGTCCGAAATAGTCCAGCTTTCTCTGCTTGATGCTTTTTATGATCTCCACATGGTGTGGTTTCACAGTAGAATTACTTTGCGCAGCAGCCGATGGAGAAAGGTTTAAGGAAATTATAAATACGGATACGGCTTCTAAAAAAAAAAGATTATATCTGTAGTTAATTCACAAAAAATACTATTTTTATTTAATATATCGGTATTTGTGGAACATAAAGTGCTTTTATATTTTTAATACTATAATATATTACTATATTAACATCAACTAACTTACTAAACAGATTTCGGCCTTCGTTAAAAAAATACAAGATTATTTAAAACCTAAATTAATTACTATTTGTAAGTTCACAAAAATTGATAAACGAAAGAATCGCTGCAATCTTTCGAAACCCGAAAAAGCTTTTTGGTTCATTTCATAATATATTACAAAAAGAATAATAATTAACATTCTTGTAATATTAAAAAATGCTTAAAAATATATACAAATATAATAATAAAATGAATTATATCATTTGAATGCAATTATATTCAATATATGTCTTAAATGCAATGAAAAACTATATCGTTGAATGATTAAAAAAAGTAACTGATCAGTAAATGAACAAAGTATAAATTAGTTCAAAAAATGAATTATACAGGGTTACGCAATTGAACTGTTACCAACTTCACATCAATATATCTGGCAAACGATAATGACAGCTACGTCAAAGTTAGCCCGATAACACTTCAGTATATTGTTTATAACCCGTCAAAAGCATTTGCATTTAAGTTTTATACATAGAACAAAAGTTATTCGACAATGGAATTGAAACGTAATAGTGTAATTGCATTATATTTGGCTGGACAATCACAACCAGGTATTGTTCGTCAGCTCAAACACCTCAAAGTGAATAAAATGTTTGTGTATCGCACCATAACTCGTTATAATGATACTGGTAGCATTGCTTAGTGCTATGGTGGTGGACGAAAAAAAAAAAACAGCAACATCACCTGAAATGGTTCGGTTCGGAAAGTAAAGGCTTGTCTTGAGCGAAATCCACGTCGTAGTGGTAATCAAATGACCAAAGAACAGAAAATATCCCAGCGAAGCATGCAACGAATATTGAAAAAAAAAGTTCAAGGTCAAGCCTTACAAGTTCCAAAAAGCACCCAATCTTACATTAAAGCAAAAAAAAAGTTCGGCTTGAAAGAGCAAAGGAGTTGTTACGCCTGCACGAACGTGGCGAATTTCCGAACATAGTGTTCTCTGATGAGAAAAATTTTCCTATTGAGACGTTCATAAACTCTCAAAATGATCGTTTTTACTTGACCGAACACACCTACGAAAGTTTGAGGTTTGTTTGTCATTACCAAAGTTTGGAGAGGTTATTTTGCCCAACCTAACAATGAGCCGGAGCACCTGCCACAGTTTCTTCTGATTCTGTTCTGTGGCCCAGGTTAGTCTTGGTTGATCGAAACCCTCTGGCTTGCTTGTGATACATGGCATATTCTGTGTGTCAAAGGGTGCATTCTTCTCCCTATATTCTCGCCATCGATAAGTCATCTTGAAGTTCTTATCTTTATTAAAAGTTATCGCTTTTAGTTTGAATGTTCTTATACGATGTTTTTCGTCAAACCTAAAGAATTGGATCCAGGGAATTAAGTCCTGATATTATTTTATTGATCAATACATTGAAATGTGACATTTCTGGCATTTTTTACATTTTGTGACATTTTCACAGATAGAGCGCATAGCATGGCTGATACGGAACTGAGCGGGCTATGTGAATAGAAATGTGAATAGAACGAATGACGGGCGGTGGACTCAAAAAATGAAAGTGATTTATTTGTTTCTTTATGTTCAGAATTTTCCCTGCTTGTATTTTGATGTCAGTAGCCTGACCCACTACTCCTCCAGATGGTTGGCAAACCATAATCCGTGCATTGGGTAAGGAACTTCTCATTCTGGGTGTTCTTGTATCTAAAAATGAAAATGCCATAATGCAAGCTTGTCCCACGCACCAAGTAGTAGCTGAAGGTAGCATGTACTGTATTGTATCATATATTCCCAATCCTGATGTAATAACAGCACCAGGGGAATTGATGTACATATGAATAGTTTTTGAAGATGATTCGGCTTGAAGGTATAACAGCTGGGCAATTATCAAAGAACTGCTTATGTCATTAATAGGTCCCATTAAACATCTTTCTTTAAGTAATCTGGAATATATATCAAATGCTCTTTCCCCTCTACTAGTCTCTTCAACAACAATCGGCACATGATGAAATGCTGGAATATTTGCCATCATAGGATTAGGAAGTCCTGCGAATTCTAAAGATTTTGAACACAATCGAAACATATTTCTACTGAGCATTTTCAATTTAGAAATAACTTCTAGACGCATGTTAGTATATGTCAGAAAAATAAAAGTCAGTTCTTAAGAACGAACCTTGCGATGAGAATAAATATTGTGTTTAATAAAGAAATGACCTAAAGTGTTTAGACCACAAGCAGACAGAAGAAGCAGAGGTAGACCACTTGAACTATGGATGTATGTCAAAATAATCGCTGAGAATTGGCTGCAGGAAGCTGCTTTGAACGCAGAAGGCTAAATGATGGTGATGATATTGAAATGCATTGAACTGAGGTTGTCTGGTTTATTTTTTTTTAATATAACTGTATTCTGAATTCATAAACAGATACTGCAATTGTTTATACAATTTTTAACTTATTTCAATCCATATCGAAATACACAGATACTTTTTGTCTAACAATAAATGCCAGTTATCTATTTTTTCTGTTAAAAGCATTGTAGTTTTACTGATTTCTGTTTTTTTTTACGTTTAATGAATTTTTTTTCTTAGCAGTAGAAGTCACGATTGATTTTCTTCTTTGTTCTTATCTCACATCCCCTTAATTTGATCTGCTTGATTAACTCTATGATTACCACTTTATTCGTCTAGATCTCTTCCCTCTTGAAGACTAATCAAACATTTTAATACCAACAATGGACTCCCCTTTGTAGAAAACAAAAAAAGCGGCCAGAGATACGGTCACAATTTATCTCCGGTCGTTCCATTGATTTCGGCAGCAGGAGAATTAACAACGTCCTGCTTCGGAACGGATGGAAGTAGCGAACGAGCCGAGCAGCAGGGTCATGAGTTCAGCGCAACTCAGAACCAACGGAGATTCTATATTTAACTATGTTTTGCGTTGTTCATACTATTGCGCGGCCTAGCTTTTAGTACGGTAGCTTCGCAGCTAAAAATACTAATGCTGAATATCAAATAATCATTATAGGACTTTATAGCATCTGAAAAATGCGTAAAAGTTGTTTAAAATATTCTTTCAATTAAGTTTTGTTAAAAAAGCACATAAACAATTTCTTAATCATCTAAAAATCAACAAATTCTGAAGAGTCCACTGAATACCTAGCACATTACATCACTTAATAAGTCTTAAACTAAAAATTATACATGGCAAATATATTTATAGAAAGTTGAAGTCGATATAATTGAATCACGAAAAGTACTCATCAAAGTGTCTAGACATCAAACCCGATTTATTGTTATTATTAAGTTTGAATTATTGATTGGAAATACTATTAGATGGAATACAATAATAAAGCAATAAAATATATACTCAACTATTAGTAAAAATTGAATTGAATATTTTCTATATACTCATAAAATATATATGAATTAATATTTTTGTCTTCTGTGCAGACACAAAACATATTGGTTTACATATTTAGGAGGCACAATTCCAGCACAAAAGATCTTCCTTCTTCCTCCTCATGTGATGTCTTCAGCCAAAGGGTTATTTCTTTCTACCTTACCCTGTTCTACATTCCATCTTGACTTTCACTGTAGCTAGTTATAGTATACTGTATTTATCATTCCGAATTTTTATCAGTTCTTAACTATATCTCTCTCTATTTTCAGTCCTGACTCCTAGGAGGGAGTGTGGTGGTCATTGTGTTGTCCTGTATTGTCGGTCTCCAAAGATGTTAGTCTCTGGTTCTTCTTCTTCTTCGCGTGCCATATCAGAACTATCCTACGTTGGCGATCACCATTCCGAAGGCTTCTCGATCTTCTGCAATATGGAATAATTGTCCTGCATTTGGTATCTCAGTCCATTCACAAATGTTTTTTAACCAAGAAACTTGTTTTCTTCCTACACCTCTACGGCCCTCTATTTTAAGGATCAGTTGTAAAATTTTTATATCGACTTCCCCTTACTATATGTTCCAGATAGGACATTTTTCGATGTTTAACAGTCTTTAGCAGTTCTCTGTCTTTGTTGACGCTCCTTAGTACTTCTTCATTAGTTTTTCTTGCTCTCCAAGGTATCTTCAGCATTCGTCTATGAAATCACATTTCCAATGCTTCAATTTTGTTTATGATCGATACTTTTCTCTGGTTATTTCTTTTAGTTCATGCATATAACTTTTACATATTTCTGTAATTAGCACGATCTACCTTGTTGAGGATCTTCCTCATGATCTTCGGCTTTCTACCTTTCCTTGGATAATAAGTTTTTTCATTTTTTCTGTATCTGCTCTAATAATATCTCCAAACTATTTTACTCTTTGGAGATGGACAAGCAAATAATTCGAACTTCAGATCACCACCGGAAAAACAAAAATATTGATAATAACGAGACAGGGCAAATAATAATTTACCAAAATATACCAAGTGGCGAATTTTGAAGTAATAGACAGATTTGTATAGACAGGTTAATATAGCAAATAGCATATATATAGTATTTCATGTTTTAATTAATAAAATATGTATCAATTCTTTTGAATTGTTATTTTTAGCTAATAAAGTAATAATTAATGAGTGCTATATATATAATTCGGTCTATAAAAATTAAAAAACAATGCAAATCTTAACCTATAATTCTAAAGTATCTACAATAATATGACATTTTATTACTTTCTTAGGCAACTAATACACTCACGTTTTACACTGCTGTGCTCGTTGCAAAAGTTCTTGCTGCAGCGATTACAAGTTTCTTTTGTGTTCTTGATTTTTTAATGGACATAAGTAACATCTTCTTTTCTGTATTGACTGAGACGTGGCACTTGTGGCAGTTGCTTCTCCTGCAAAGTCCGCCATAAGGGATCTAGCTGATTTAGACAGTCTTACGTTCAATCTGCGGAAAATTGGGGGCTTTATAAGTTGTTCTGCTGTTTCAATTATGAATTGACGTCTTTTTTCGTATCTTTTTATGTTCCAGTTTGGATGCAGGTTGATCCAAATAACATAAAATGCTAGACAACATACATACATCTAACATATTCATTAAATATGCGAACGAATGCGAACGAACAAACGCGAACGGTTTGTTCTAGTTTTGCACATCGATTGAAGCACCATCTGATCGAGCGGATCAACTTAACCGTTTGTTTTATTATAGTCGAGAATAATCTCTGGTTTATGGTTTATCTCCTCTCTAACCTCATTCGAGTAGTGCATTATTTACAACACTATGACACTTTTTATAGGCTTAGCCACGTATGCTACCAATGTAGCCTTTTTGTAAAACTAAATGTAGAAGACAATGGCTCCTTGTTCTTACATTGTTGAAACTCAGGAGGAATAAACTTTTTATTTTTTCTAACTGTGCCAACAATTGTTAAACCATTAGATAGCGTATTTTAAGCTATATCTAAGTCCGTAAAATAGTTATCAAATGTTACATTCCTGTTGGCTCGTTAATAAGGTTCGCTTAGTGATTCTACCACTTTACGACCCAAACCAGTAGCCACTTGGTTACCTTCTTTGCCGAGATATGGAATCGCATTTAGAAGATAAAAAGTTTCTGAGTCACAGGCCCACCATATTTTCATTCCATACTTGTTGGGTTTTGAGGAAATATATTGTTTGAACGAACATTTTTCACGATAAGAAATCAACTGCTCTTCGATTGTTGTATTTCATCCTGTCAAATAATGTTTTTTCAAATTTCCTAGTACTTGATCTCATACATCCCGAATAGCAGCACATTTATCTTTTACCCTTTTACCCCTTAAAATGTGAGATTATCGTCGAATTTTGAAAATAGCTTGGAAAACAAAAATATGGAATGAAGAAGTACTACAATTAATAAATAAATAGAGGGAACTCGTATTAGTAATGAACATAACAAATAGGAGTTACCTGAGATTAATGTTGAGGCATGAAAAATACTATATCTTATCATTAATTTGAGAGGCTAAGATAGAAGAAAGATGCGGGAAAGTTTTCTCATAGAACTCGCTAACCTTCATTAATGGAGACAGCAGTCTAAGAAAAAGTACACTTTACTTTTTTTTATGTTGCGCATAATTTATGTCGTTAAACGTTTTCATCAGGTTTAGACATAATTCACATTCCTAATATACATGTAAGGATATGACTAATAATATTGTCGTAGGAGCATATAAATGAATGTTGAATTGATATAATATTGATATAATTATCCAACCAGAAGAACCTTGTTAGCAGCGCCAGTAAAAAATAGGAGGCAGAAGTAGATCAAGATTGAGATGGAAGAATGCTCTGGACGAAGACGCAAGGAAGATTGGTGCAGCAATCTGGCAAGGTTGGCAATGGACAGAAACAACTGGTGAAATAGACGGGAAAGTTGAGGGCTATATTACCACTGATGATGATTGTGCATTCATCATCAATCAGCCTTGAGTTGTCCATTGTTGAACATAGACCTCCTCTAGATTTTTCCATCTGCTTCTGTTCTGCGCCTCTGCTATCCAATTGGACACGATTCTTTTGAGGTCGTCGGTCCATCGCGTTGGGGGTCTTCCTTGGCTTCGCTTGTCAGCCCGTGGTCTCCACTCGAGCAATTTTTTTGTCCAACTGTCGTCTTTCATTCTTGCAACATGTCCTGCCCATCTCCATTTTTGCCTTGTAATATGTTCGATAATGTCTTCCACTCCGGTTCGTCTACGAACTTCCTCGTTTCTTATTCTATTTCTTAAGCTTATTCCAAGCATTGATCTCTCCATCCTTCGTTGTGTTCTTCTCAATTTTTCGGCTGATGTTTTTGTGAGAGTTAAGGTTTCTGCTCCGTATGTGAGGACTGGTAGAACTCACTGGTTAAAAGCTTTTCTTTTTAAATGGATCGGTATATTTGTTTTAAATACGTCTCTCATTTTTCCGAATGCAGCCCAATCCAGACTTATTCTTCTGAGTAGCTCGCATGTTTGGTTATCTCGCGTTAACCTTATTTCGTGACCCAAATACACATATTTTTCCACAAGTTCTATGGGCGACTCTTCGATTTCTATTAGCTCATTGGGGACGAGGTTGGTCATCATTTTTGTTTTTCCATAGTTTATCTTTAAATCGACTTTCTGGGTTACTTGCT